ATGTAGCTAATAGTCACACCAAGCTCGGGACAAAAATGTAGCCCTATTGGATGACTGGTGTAAAATTTATTGCAGTTTTAGTTGAAGTTTTGTCAGTTTTTTGCTACTTACACCACAAAACGTTACCGATTACTTTGAAATTCGGTCACTGTATTTAAAATAACGATTACATGAGTGTTCTACTATGTAATACCAACAATTTTTGTTATAATTATTTTATCGGTACATCTACAGTTTTCATTTTATAGACTAAACTAGTGATTTTCTATTTAAAGCGTGATTTAAATAGTCTTATGATAATAGTGTCGACACGGCCTTTAAAGTGGAGGGGGTCAACCCCTCAATTTCTAAAACAAAATCCATAACTTCTAAAATAATTGCCTATACTTCTAAAACTAAAGGTCCTCGCAAAAAAAAATTGAGAAGGCCATGGCTCCCTAGTCTCCCCGGCGATGATGGCCTTGTATGGTTGAATATACCAACACTTCCTAAAGTATAAACTCCTGCCAAAAAAAAAAAGAAGCTAAAAAAAAGTGCAAAACGTGGTCAAAAGACTACCAGTTTGTAAAAAAAAAAAAAAGTAGATCTCCTGAAATAATTTGAATTGACCTCCTTAAATATATTTACTTTTAAAATGAAGTAAAAACTACTTGAACCCCATTTTTTTAAATTGTATTACCATCAAATATCTAACTACATTTTTAGAAATGATTTTTTGATTTTCTCGACCAAAATATTATTAATAAATAGCAAAATGTACTTTTTTAATACAAATATTCTATAATACTACTTTTAAAGATGGTGAAAATATTCATTATAAAATATGAATTTTAACAGCCTAATTTTTAGTAACTCAAATGGTGTTCTTTAAAGATGCTTACTGTTTAGATCAATTATACAGCGCAACAATCTTTCTTTGTACTCTGAATGATTATTATTTAGCTCATACCTCGACCAATGTTGATAAAAATCTCGATGAGAAGTTTCGACAGTTTGTTCACTATAGGGCCCCAAGGGGGATCCTTTGTGACTGATGAAATCCTTGATGTGGTAAAATATGGCATGAATTTTGGAATTTCGCACCAGTTATGATTAGGTAACACTTTTTGAAATTTTCAATTTTTTCAGCGAAATCTGGCTAAAGGATGTATCCAAAGCAAGCCTTGACAACTAAATTGAAGTTTTTGAATGCTTCAATTATGCACACAATATTGGAAACTACGTTTGTTTCAGCAAGTTGTAGCAGCATATCCACATTTTTAAGAAGCTTCCTGCATTAATCAAACATAAATAAAATGTTATTATGAGCAAAAAATTATTAAAGTCATAATTAAATAAAAAAAGAAAATTAATTTAAAAGAAATCACTAGTAAGATTTGTATACTCTAAAATATTCTTTTTAATTAATATTTGAAAGCAAATTATACTTTTTTATATTATTATGTTTTGTTATATTATTATGTTTTGCTAAGAATTTATTCCAGATATAAGGAGCACAATATGTAATTTTAAATTGAATTTGTTTAGTTTTGCATAAGGTTTAATAAAAAAGCCTGTTGTTCGTTAGGTATATTTAAAGTTAGGTTTTATTTCATAGAGATCATAAAACATTTAAGGACATTGTTGGAATTTACTTTTGTACATAATACATAAAATTTTATATATGTTTAACTCGTATAATTTATAAATATTCTTAATTTTTAAAAGTGGTTTTGCATGTACGCTTTTATTTTTAAAATTCATTATTCTCAAAGCATGTTTTTGTTTTCTATAGAGTGTTTCTAGTTTCCTTTAGTAGTACTGCTCCAAGCAATATTTGCTTATATTAAGTACGCTTATATTATCCACTGCGCCACGGCTGATAATATAAGCGTAGTGGTAGCGCACTTGTCTCAGAAACAAAGAATCCGTGGTTCAAACAATAAAATATTAAATCAGCATGAAAATATAAAGATGTACTTGTAGATTTTTTATTTATTAAATAAAAATGAAATTTCAAATATTATACCATTTTCCTTCTTCATCTTTAAGATCAAAAGGCAAATTTAATTTGATAGCTATCTGGATTTTTAACAAAAGCTCTTTAGTTTACCAATTGAAAATCAGGCCTCATATTTTACTGCTGTTATTTGTTTTAACGTACTTTTTTTGGCTACATGTTATTAGCCTCAGGGAATTGGTGCTTCACAATGATCAAAAATGAAAAAGTTACCAGATTCTAATCACAAAGACTGGCCTCTTTATCCTTATATAAGAATATTGAAAAGTGTAGTTATTTAATTTTTGTATGTTTTTGTAAAGTTTTGATTATAAGATTGTTTTTCTGCAAATTATAATTTTCTAGACTATGAAAAGATGAAAAAGACAGAGGCTGAATTTTTGCACTACACGGATTTTTCTTCAAGTTGTTCAGAAATATAACATGATTTAAAGAGTAAAAAACTGCAAACACAATGCAAAAGTATATCATATTTATTGTATGTTTTTAAAATGCTAAGATTATAAAGGAAAATTACATTTCTTTAGTTGAAATTTTTTATTCGTTGTTATTGTATTTATATTACAATTTTATTAGTATTTTGTTTGCAATTTTAGGAGTCCTGACATTACAATTGAGAAAAAGAAAATAAAAGAAAACTCGAAAATCAAGAATTAGAAAAACTCACCAATTAATCGATCAAAAAAATTCTAGTTCTGACTCTTCGGATAGTGAATATTTGGTACCACTTCTTCCCCTACCCCCATGTAGACAGTCAACTTCCACCACAGATCGAATTGATAAACCTTCACTAGCTAGTTTTAGCAAAAACATCACATCTACAATTCAAAAGTTTTGCATTTAGAATAATATTTTGGGATATATGTTGTTCAATTATACTTGCAAAATGATGTTCTTTTTATAATAGACTGTTTTTGAAAGATAAAAAATGCTAATTTTTTTATGGTTCCTGGTGCTCTAATATGTTGGAGGTGCTTTTATTATTTTTATTTTGCAGCTTAACGTCTATGGTTCCACATATATGTGCCTTGTAAATAAAAATAGTAAGATGGAGGGGGTCAACCTCTCAATTTCTAAAATAAAATCCATGATTTCTAAGATAATTGCCTTTATTTCTAAAACAAAAGGTTATAGCAAAAAAAAAGTAGATGAATAAAAAAAAAAAAGAAGGACATGACTCCCTAGCCTCCCCTGCGTTGACGTGCCATGTATGCTTCGCTTGAATATACCAACATTTCCTTAGGTATAAACTGCTGCCAAAATAAAAAACTAAAAAAAAGTGAAATATCTTGTCAAAGGGCTACCAGTTAGTAAAAAAAAAAAGTAGATCTCTCATAATATTTTTTATTGATCTCCTTAAATACTTTTACTTTTAAAATGAAATAAAAACTATTTAAACCCTATTTTTTACATTGTATTACCATCAAATATCCAATTACATTTTAAGAAAAGTTTTTTGATTTTCTCCACCAAAAGATTATTAATAAATAGCTCATTGGACTCTTTTAATTCAAATACTCTATATTACTACTTTTAAAGATGGTGAAAATATTCATTATTAGCCGTAAAATATTAATTTCAGCAACCTAATTTCTAATAACTCAAATGATTTTCTTTAAAGATGCTTAGATCAGTTTAGATCAATTATGATCTAAGCTGATCTAAGTCTGATCTAATGGAATTAGTTTAGATCAATTATGCAGCGCAAAAATTTTTCATTGTAATCTGGATGATTATTATTTTGCTTATACTTCGACCAATGTTGATAAAAATCTTTATGAGAAGTTTTGACGTTTGTTCGTTACAGGGCCCGAAGGGGGTCTTTTTTCACTGATGAAATCCTTGATGTGTTAGAAGACGGCGTTTAAAGTTCTTTTAAGTTTCTTTAATCCGTTGTTCGACAGGCCTGTATTTAATTGTACATTTACAAGGGTCAACTTCGAAGCACTTGATGGTGTCTACGCACTACTTTGACCTAAAACCAAAATATACATATTTTATAGTTACAATAAACTTTGTTTATTAGGTTTGTGCAAAACTTTCAAAATATTCGCTTTCAAAGAAATTAGAAACTTGTCAAAAATATACTTCTTGAAATCTATCTAGTGTTACTTCTTTATAGTCAAGACTTTGTTTCAATATATATGCTATTTTGCTGCTAAAGATTGAATGTTTTTTCTTAACATTATTTGAGAGCATTGTTGGGGCAAACCTTTCGATAAAGGGCTGAGGCATTTTCTGATACGTACTTTTGTTTTTTCTCAATAGTGGTTTGCTCTAAAAGAGGATGTTTTTCTTGTAGCTTTGAAGAACCAATTCGGCATATTAAGCAACAACAAAAGCAAAAAATAATAATAATGCTGTTTCACTTTATTAAGTTCCATGAGTTTTTTAATAATTTGAACTTGTTTAAATAAGTTCTTACTATTTTAAAATTAAAAAAATTTTTTAATATTTTTTAATTAAAATATTTTACTTTCAAGTATTGCAAAAATAACCTTTCATGAAAATTAAAGAAATAGACTAATGATGTTTTTTTAATATTAAACTGTGTTTTAGATTCATGACATCTTCTTTTATCTGCTTATAACACAAAACTATTTGAGCAAGTCTTTTGAGAAACACAGTTTTTAAGACATGCACCAACATATGTATAAAAAATTGTTAATACAAATCATGTAAATATATGTAAAAATAAAAAATTCTGTTAACACTTCAGTTCATTACTAATATAATTTAACCGTACATTCAAAAGGTCTGTTTAAATATACTAATTATAATTCCTAAAATACTTTGTTGCAGCTGTTTATACCTGTTTTTCATAGTAGTCCCAGTCTTTACATTCCTGGAAACCTTATTAGCATACATAAGTATGCATTCAGTAAACTTATTATAATACATAAGTATTATAATAAGTCTTCTATTTGATAAGAAAGTGTGAAACCATTTAACCAATTTTTTTTGAAAAGCTATTATTTTTTATCTTGTGTATTAATTTTAGGTGTGAAACTTTATTAAAGGCTTTTGCTAAGTCAAACTATGTAACATCTACTGAAGTCTAATTGTTTAGATGGTTCGTTATTTCATCGATTGTTTCTAAGAAGTAAGTTGGTTATACATGATTTAGAAGGTAATGAAGGAAAACCTTGTTGATTTTTATTGATTATATTTTATTATTTTATCTCGAAACATTCTTTCAAAAGTTCTACAAACAACTGACGTAATAAATAAATTGACCGATAATTTGTTAGATCTAATTTACTACCACCATTAAAAATCGGTGTTGGATTCGCTAGTTTCCATTTTTCAGGAGCTATTGCATCACTATAAACTTTTGCGAAAATAAAGATAGTGGATATTATAGAGCTACGTTACATTTCTTCAAGATTAATGGATGAGTTTTATTATGTCAAATTGATTTGTTTTCGTTTAATTTTCGTTTAATCTAAGTGGTGGTATTATTATAGGAGAGAAGTTGGAGATTTAAGTTGCAGGTGATGATCTTAGTTTAAAATATGGTAACACAACAGAGATATTTTCTTGGATGAACACAGAATGAAAATGTAAACCCAGAATTATTGATATTGCAATCGGAATAGAATAAATTTGGATTTATTTAGATTTTTTTGCTATATTAGATTCATAATCATAAACTTCTGTATTAATTAGTTCTTTTTATGCTGAATTTAAATAGTTTCTTTAAAAAGTTTGATTTATTTGATGATAAATCTTTGAACCACAGTCTTTTTTCAAATTAATTTCTTTCTTTCATTTTTTAGTTATTATTATGCTTCTAAAATAAGAGGAAATGTGAGTGATAAATACAAGCTCCACAATGCACATCGGATCAGCGCTCGTTGACTATGTGCTCGGATCTAAAATCTCACTCCATAGCACATCATTCCACACCAGCACGGGGAAGTAGCTCTTTTGGCTAAGAGTGATGGCTTGTGGCCTACGGTGACTAATGTGTGCATTCGATCAATTGAAATTTATTCTGTAGGTCTCACGTCTGGCTCTGATGTGCTAGCCCATAAGCGCAAGGAGTGAGTGTGTTTAGCTTTCTATTCACCCGATTTGAAAGTGAACGAAGGCATAACGAGACCATACTAGACGACCAAACGGTACATACTAATGCACTACACCATCACACCTGTAGACATCAACGGCCTCTAGAACCAGTATATCAAATATTTGTTCTTTATTATATACTTTTGTTCATAATCTTATTTTACCCTATCCTTGTATATTTATTCAGATTTGTGTTATATGTGAATGAGGCCGTATATTTGTGAGAAGTATAACAGTGCGAAAATTTTACACAAAAGTACGTAACAACGTATTTTTTATAACATATGTATTCTTGGTTGGAATATACTGAACAATTTCATTAGATAAGTTTAGACTAATCACGATTTCGTTAGGTTTTTTTGTTTCTTTCTAATTTTCTCGATTTGACGTCGCTAAGTTAGTTTGTTGTGGTTAGCACTATGCAGTCTTCACTAACGTTCCTTTGGTCGTTTTGTCAACAATATTGTTCTTTAACGTTACATTTTTTAGTGGTTATAAGCTATTAGTTTAAAATCGCATATATTGTCTTATCTTTTTATTTCCTCATTATTGTCTGCCTACTGATTTGATGTTCGTATCTTTTTTTATCTCTGGCTAATCGTTAGTATGTAATGACTGATAAATTTTCGAAAAAATTGATGATTTGGCAGGCACTTTACTCTTGCGGCAAAAAATCGCCAATTCATGTTTGTTTGGGCACAATGGAATCTTCGGAAAACATGTAATGTTGTCTTTCTCTTATAAAACGACTAATTAAAGCTCATAGAAGTAGGGGACAGTATGCACCCATGAACCTAAAAATCTATCAGGCCAACTTGCTGAATATATGTTTTCATTTCGATCTCTAAAATAACAGTACATAATAGCAAATTTTATACCTTATTATAATTCAATTATCATTTTTTTACCAGAATATTTTAAGTGTATTTAAAATTATAAAAACTAAGAACGCTCAATTGGAATCGTGGATGCATACTAGTATGCTCCCTTGATCCTACCTATATGCACCCTTGATTGTATGTAGGTATTCTTGATTCAAGATCAAATTTATACCATGAATGTATAAGTCATCAAAACAATGTCAATAACAAAAACTAATATAGTTATTATTAATTTTACTTCAAATTTATCTTTTTTTAAAAAAAGAAAAAATAAATGAAAAAAATGTTATTTTTTATTGACTCAACGTTTTTATTTTCATAACTTTCAAGATTAAGTTTTCTTTTTCTTGTGGAGAAGATCTTATTTTGCGTTTCATGTTTTTGGTATTTTGACCGAGATTTTTTTTTTTATTTCCTGAAGCTTACATAGCTCATTTCGAACAGGAGTGTCAGTGAGTATTCGAGTAAGCTGACGTGCGTCCTTTAATGGATTTCCTTGATCTAGGTTTTGGAAATGGCCTATTTTTTTTCTAGACTTGCTTGATGAGATATAGAATTAGAAACGCTGGATAATTGACTTCCAGGGTCAGATATGGGCCAAACATGGCTCTCGTCATTCTCAAGAAGTAAAAGCATTGACTGGTGAACAAATCGCATTTTGAATAAAATGTTTCATTCACTCTAAAAACGTTGCAACATTCATCCAACCAGATGGGTTTGCAATCCCAACACATCCAGGTAGACCACCATTTATTATACTTTATTTGAAATAAACTTTGGAAAAATAAAAAATGAAGGGATTGAGTTTCCTATTGCATTAACTGCACAACAAACTGTTACCAATGTCCCTCTTTCTGCTGAAGTTATCCTTTCAACTTGTTTTTCTCCTTTTTTTAGCAATTACTTTACCTCAACATTATATATAGGATCAAAGGTGCTTACGGATCAAGAGTGCATGTTCTCTCCTACCTTAGTATTGTTTTGACCTGATTTAGCTACAATACATTACTCAAAAGATGCTCAAAAGTTTTACGATGATAATGGAGTGATGTTGGTTCCAAAAAAGATGAATCCTCCAAACTGCCCTGTCCTATTAAAAATATTGGATCATAAAAAAGAAATTGAAATTAAGAGGAAAAACAGTAAAATCAGCTACAGATTTACATTACAGATTATATATATATATATATATATATATATATATATATATATATATATATATATGTATATATATATATATATATATAAATATATATATATTTATATATATATATATATATATATATATATATTTATATATATATATATATATATATATATATATATATATATATATATATATATATATACTATATATATATATATATATATATATATATATATATATATATATATATATATATATATATATATATATATATATATATATATATATATATATATATATATATATATATATATATATATATATATATATATATATATATATATATATATATATCTATATCTATATATATATATATATATATATATATATATATATATATATATATATATATATATATATATATATATATAACTATATATATATATATATATATATATATATATATATATATATATATATATATATATATATATATATATAGTTATATATATATATATATATATATATATATATATATATATATATATATATATATATATATATATATAGTTATATATATATAGTTATATATATATATATATACATATATATATATATATATATATATATATATATATATATATATATTTATATATATATATATATATATATATTTATAAATATATGTATATCTATATCTATATATATATATATATATAAACATATATATATATATATATATATATATATATATATATATATATATATATATATATATATATATACATATATATATATATATATATATATATATATATATATATATATATATATATATATATATATATATATATATATATATATATATAATATATATATATATATATATATATATATATATATATATATATATATATATATATATTATATATATATATATATATCTGTGTGTATGCACCTTTGATCATAGAATCAAAAGTGCATAAACGCATTAGGATCACGGGTGCTAACCCGCTCCATTTTTACAAAAATTCTTTTTTTGTCATATTAGATGCTTCTATTGCTTACCAAAAGCAATCATACAAGAGGTGATTAGTTAAGTCTCAAAATTACATAAGCAAAATTATTCAACTTAAAAAAATAATAAAAATGTGAGGCTTCTTGTAAAAGTAAAAAAGTTATTTTTTGTCGTCAAAATCAAACTATTTAGAAATAAATTTGATAGTGGTCTATTCTCTAACCAAAACATAATTAATTTTGAAGGTACAATACTTATAACACGCTGGTTATCAGCCTTCTTTAATAAGTTATGTAAGTATGGAGATAACGCTATAGGATCAAAGGAGCTTACGGATCAAGGGTGCATGTTCTCCCCTACTTTAGTATTGTTTTGACCTGATTTAGTTACAATACATTACTTAAAAGATGCTCAAAAGTTTTACGATGATATTAGAGTGATGTTGGTTTTAAAAAAGATAAATCCTCCAAACTGCCCCGTCCTATTAAAAAATATAGGATCATAAAAAAGAAATTGAAATTAAGAGGAAAAACAGTAACATCATCTACAGATTTGAAGAAAAAACGGGATTACGCTGCTTAAACTTACAAAAATCTTTCTGTCCAGAAACTTATGGGAGGCATCAAAGAGAAAGTCAGAATTTCCTGTAAAACTTAACTTTATTTGTTTTTTCCCTAATAATATGTAATCTTTTCAGTCTTAATTTTTCAGAAATATATTGATTTAAATATAATTAAGCTTTCTTACATCCTTTTTTGATCAAGAAAGGTGGGCAGATTTTTACAATAGCATGCCTTAGTGTTAGTCACTATAAATTCATATGTGAATATCATTATCATACCTTTATTTGAATTGCCTAATTAAGGCTCATGTTTTTTTTAAGAATTCTATTGTTTTTATCAGTTTTAATTAAATCTAAAATGTTTTCTTTCATTTTTTTTATTTGAAAAGTTAGTTTAAAAAACCATTTGAAAAAGAAAACAATTATATAACGTTGTAACAAAACTATTTTTATATGTATTTTTTCCGACAAATGTTTACTAAAACCATATTTGTTTCATTTTATTTTAGGAAAGTTAAAATCTCCAATAATTAGAGAAAAATACTTTATTTCGACTCGCTAACTTTTTTGTTTTATAAATTACATAATTTAGCTGGTTATTTAATTCTGCTGTTGCATTTAGTGGTCTATATAAGCACCCAAGTAATTTTGTTTCACTTGCTAATTTTATTATGCCCAAATATGCTCAATAGATATTTTATTAAATACAGCATTAATATTTCAGAAAAAATCAATAGCTCTTTTAATAAAAATACAAACACCACCTCTCTTCTACCGTCAACTTGGTCTTTTCTATATATTGTGTACCCAGTAAATCTAGATATGCACTAGAGCAAAACCAAGTTTTGCATACCATTATCAAGTCAATTTTTAATGAAAACGATAATGACGCGTAATTTTCTTATTATTAAATTTAAGTTAGGGTTGTTCGCCGAAAAACAAAACTTGCGAAAATTTCGCATTTTTATCTACCGTAATAGAATTGTTATTGCGGAAGTTGCACATGCAAAAATGCACATTCCGTAACGCGCTATACAAAAATATAAATAGTAAATAAAATTCCGTAATAAAGCATTGCGAAAGAAAACTTGCGAAACAAATCATTTCGTAAGAATACTTACGAAATAGTTCCTTACGGAAAAAGCATTCCGGAATGTGTAGTTACGAAAAAGACGCAAAAGATTTTATGTTACAATATATTTAAGATATTAACTGTTAACAGTTTAAATAATAAATAATAAAATTATAAAAAAATGTTGTCAAATGATTCTTCAAATGTTTATACAAATATACCTTATATTATATTAGATGCTTATAATTAATATCTGGACTCAAAAACTAGTTACTTTTAATAGAACACAATAGGCTGAAGGAGCCTCAGGAAAATTATATTCAGAAATGGTTATATTAGACTCAGAGTTAGCTAGAAATTATTACTAAGTATTTAGGACAGATGTCTAGTACAAAAAGCACAAGATTTAAAGCAAAATGATTTATATTATTTGAAAAAGTTGTTTTACGTACATTTTATCATAATTTAAGTAGAACTTAGTAAAGCAATGGAAACGTGTTGAATTAAGCACAATGAACTCAATCTTAAAAGAATAACTAACAGAAGAGAGGTTGTCACTATTGTGAAGGTGACGAAATATCTGTAATATTGAACATGGAGGTCAAAAAATGCTATTTTAAGTAAAAAGAGTTTGATAAACAAAAGTTACAATGACTGCGGGATGCGAACCCGGATCTCTGCGATCTTTTTACTATTTGCTTAAGCATATTCGAACCTGTTTCAAAAATTTCATATGCTTTAAAAAAAAAACATGTATATTCCTACCCATCATTCTTATTTTTAATATGCGTAATGAGTTCAAAAAACATCTTTGCATATATTTATTATGGCACGTTTCGTAAGTTTATTTCCGTTAAGAATTCTTTCGTATGTTGTGTTCCGAAATACTTTCGTTTCGAAAGAAATTTTATTTTTTATCAATATTTCTAAAAATAAAACCATAAAAATTTAAAAGTTATTATACTGAAAATAAAAATTCATTATAAACATTTTGAGATTTAAAGATGTTAATTTTTACAATTAAAATCAGTCTGGGAAACAAATTTTCTTTAAAGACTTCAAAACGTCGTTTGGCGAAAATGTTTGTTTCGCAAGTGCGACTTCCGAAACCGCTACTTTCGTATGTTGCAAATAATTTTGTTTCGTATGTCAACTTGCGAAATGCTAAATTTCGGAAGTGGCTTTTGCGAAATGAACATCGGCGATTTTAAATATTTTGTAACATTCGGTACGAAAAAATGTAATTCCGTGTTCTCAATCTCCTAACGAAAGAATGTTGTTTTTCCGGAATTGCACGAAATCCTCCGGTTAACAACCCTAATTTAAGTGCTGTAAATATTTCATTAACTGCGTTTTTATCGTCGTCTATTTTTTTTTGCATCTGTTTCTTTCGATTCATTAATACCAAAAAATTATTATTATTGTTACTGTTGTACTTATTAATTTTTACATTTCTTTTAAAATTTTTTGAATTTTAATTTGTCGTTTTTAATAATTTTAACTTTGATAATTTACTTATCATTTGATGAAAAATCAAAAAGGCTGATTTTCGTTTTGATTATTATTTAATTTATTTCTTTCCGCGATAAATAACTTTTTGCTTTCTCGTTGCGCTAAGGTGAGGTCCGGGTTATAATCCGGTAATATAAATTTTATTTCTATATCCTTCAATTTTACTCAATTTGCTGTCTTCCTTAATTACTTCTTGAGCCAAATGTTTATTGTGCATTTCAACAAAAACTATTACTGGCTTTTCATTTTTTTGAATGAAAACGATAATAACGCGTATTTTCCTTATTATTAAGTTTAAGTGCTGTAAATATTTCATTAACTGCATTTTTATCGTCGTCTATTTTTTTTGCATCTGTTTCTTTCGATTCATTAATACCAAAAAATAACAAGTTTTGTTCTCTTTTTGCTCTTTCCAATATTTCAACAGAGACAACATATAGAAATATTGCCTCTTGCTCATTAATCTTTGGTTTATTAGCAGTAAAAAGAATGCTAAACAAAACTTTAGAACTTAGACTATTTATTTTTGTCCATTTTTTAGTTCAGATATACGCTTCTCTAAGAGTTCATTTTGCTTCAGTAAGTCAAAGCGTCAAGAGCTTTTCTTAAAGTTCTTTATAAATTTTGAAATCTCGAATTTGTACATATACCATTATTAATCCATTTTTTAAATCATTTTTTTTTAATAAAATTGTGTATAACAAAAAAAAAAAAACATCTTCTCGCTTTGAAGGCGGAAGTTTTAAGTTTTGGGGAAAGTAGATGCAGCTTTTACAATTTTAATATTTTATCACATATATATATATATATATATATATATATATATATATATATATATATATATATATATATATATATATATATATATATATATATATATATATATATATTAAGTTGATTAAGGTGCCCCAAGAAGTTCTTACGGTCTTATCACAGAGCACCGCGGAAGAGCATTTAATAGGAAGTTCACGACTCCTTCCTAAAATATGTCGCAAAACATGCCAGAGGTGGGGTTTGAACCACGGATCCTACGTTTCCGAGGCAAGTGCGCTACCACTGCGCCGCGGCTGCTTAAATATATGTTTATATATATGGCTGCTTATATATATGGATAACAATTTTCTTAATGTTATCACATCATAGATACTATATTTTATTTAGAAAAACAGATTTAAACCAGGAAAGGTTGTTGGTTGTAATAAGTGGCTTTCCACTAGAGAATGACATGGAGTCACGATATCATGGTTACCGCAATAATCTTTACGCTTAATTATTACTCACACGTTTTTCCTGTCTTTTAAGTAATTTTTCTGAGTCAATATTTATGTACCCATTTGGCAAGTTTAACCTAGTTTTGACTACATTTGCCAGTAATTACAACTATTTTTGCCTAATCTTTCAATTTCCAATCACTTTCTATTTCATAAAGCCAACAATACAAATAGAAATATTACAGCTTTCTTTTATAAATGTTTTTGTGCTACTATTACGTTGATTAGAACGATTAGCAAATACTATTTTTTAATATATATTTATATAGTGGGTTAAACAATAATAACAAGAGAAATCGTATTTTTGATGTTTTAAAATAATATATAAATATACTCTCACACAAGATGTTATCCTTTAAATAATAACAAGTAAAAAAATTAAGAAAGCCTATTTAAAAATCAAACTTAGATGTTTTTGTGATGAAATATAAAGGTAGAAACCGCCTTCTATTTTTTTCTCAAAAAAATTGCATAGCTACGCATTTTAAAAACAAGCACATAATTAGTTTACCTTAACAATAAACGCATGTTTAAAAGTTATTAAGGAAAATTGAGAATCTAAATTTTGATCATTAAAAACCTGTTTGACTTGGTGGAGAGGTTCTTATACGAAACTCGTATATCTATCCTTCAATGGAGTAATGGATTTATCGCGAAGTTTTTTTAATTCTTCGATTGACTTGACGTGTACAGGCTTTAAAAAGACGCTGTCATCTTTTGTATTATCATCATCATTATCTGTTTCGTACGACGAAAATGATGGTGCGGTATTTTGGTCGATTTCAAAATTGAGATAACAATTACCTTGAGACATTACATCATCAAAATATTCACGTAGTTTTGTAAAAGATGGCCGTTGTAATGGATCCTCATTCCAACACTGCAACATAATATCATACCTAAAATTGTATTAAATAATTATCTAAAATAAACAACAAAATGCTTATTAAAACGATGCATAAAATTAAATTACATTTTTTCAGAACAGTTTTCAGGTTTATCCATTCGATAACCAGATTTCAAAAGAGGCAGAAGTTCACGGTTACTTATAGTAGGATAAGGCGTACCTCCTATTAAAAAATATAATGGAAAACTATTATAAAAAATAATGAAAAAGAAATATATGTTTTTTCAAAACTTTAATAAGAATTTAAATTTGTGTTAATTTTAAAATATCTAACCTAAAGTTACAATTTCAAACAAAACAACACCATACGCCCACCTAAAAGAAACAAAAAGCTTATTAAGGATCATTTAAAAAAAAATTAATAAAAAGTATGCACTTATAGCATTAAAGAACATTTTTTTATAACTTGCATGATCAAATAAAATTTATGAAAAAAGAATATTGAAATAACTTACACATCGCTAAATGAGGTAAACAGCTGATCAAATATGGCTTCAACAGACATCCACTTGACCGGTAAACGACGCTTTTTCTTGCTCATGTAGTTCAATTCATCATTGATTTTTCGAGTTAGACCAAAGTCAGATATTTTTACTTTTTTTCCTGCTCCGACCAAAATATTTCTTGCAGCCAGATCTCGATGAACTAATTTAGAACACGAAAGAAATTCCTAAAAATATACGAAAATGGTACCACAAAGCCAAAATAATAAAGTATAAAAATAAAAATAAAGAATATAGGTAAACAAAAACTAAACAATACCATTCCTGATGCCACTTGCCATGCAAAACTAAGCAAATCGTCAGGTGTTATTACCTCACTTTCTTCTAACGGAATATCATTCGGCTTAACCCCCAAATAAACATTACCCATTTTTGTCGTTGTTTTGTTGTTTGCCTTAAAATGATTTCTTAACAAAATTTGAATTAATAAACAAAGCAAATTTAAGTCTAATAAATCTATTATATTATAATAATTTTATTTATAATAATTATATTATATAATTTGAAAAAACTTTTTACTCCCTGATTAAAAAAAAAGAAAAAAAGATAAAACCTTCAGACATAGTTGATATCCTTGTGTATAAATAAAGTTTACAGACAATTTTCTATCAATCGTTGAAGCACAAAACTAAAAAAAAGCAAATAAACTAGGCGTGAAAGAAAAATGAATTTAAATAAAATAACTTATCAACGTAAAAGTGTTGAAAAACCGGTCTTACTGATATAAACGGTTTTTAATACAACAAAATATCAAAAAATTTGTCAATATTATTTTGTTAGGTTCTATGAAGACCATAAAAAGAAATTATGAGAATAAAGATTGATGGAGACTACAGTAGTAGAGCACTGGATACAAATAGGAGAAAAAACAAGGTAAATAAGTTAAGAGATGAAGAACTAGAGACAGAAAAAATTAAAAGATATTAAATAATATTTTAATGTCACATTACTCCATGTCAGAAACCCTTCAATTCACCAGTGAAGAAGAATAATAGAAGGAGGACTCTGAAATCAGCGAGGAAGAAGATTACAGGTTAAAAGGCAGAATTGTAAGTATATTATTAACTCAATAACAAAGTTGTAATTTTTACGAACTAAAATTGCTTTGTTGAAAAGTAAATAATTATAAATAGGTAGAAAAATATTATCGAGTATCACCTAGATACAAGTATAGAGATAAATCTAGCAGTGAATGTTGACAAAATCATTAAATGTACTGCAATTCCAGGAACAAGGTTTAATGTTGGTAAAACCTCATTTAGCAATTTTAAGTGAAGTTTTTAAATGTGTAGAAATGGATGATATACCACTATCTTGAACTTCATATAAAGAAGTTTACATACCTTAAACATGAAAGAGATTTTGAGAGGATTTCAAATCAAGTTTTTCGTAATTTGTTTTTTATGATTAGTGAAGAATATGGGGTACACTTAACTTTGATACTAACTGTTAGAACAGATTATATAGGACAGATTATAAAAATAGGGTCTAATATTTTAAAAAATATTAGACCCTATTTTCATATAAATATAAAGAAGTAAATGTACTTTATATATGTGTCTCCTACACATCCTCCACAGCACTTGAACTTCTAAAATTTCTATAAAAATTTTAATTCTCCATTGACTATGCCTGTATTGCTTGCAGTTTTATCAAAGCATATACCTATATCTCTACATTCATTATATTCTGGAAGATTGTTTATTTGTTCTGCTTGGTTAACTTTGTTAAGGGACATTAAACTACGCCTAGAAGATGGTCTTCCATGGAGTCATCATTTGTGTAGCTCACTTTGACTGCAAGTCGCTCAATTTTTTTAACAATATTAGGCCCTGGGGGGGCCTAATATTTTTTAAAATACACAAATGATGACTCCTTGGAAAACCATCTTCTAGGCGTAGTTTAATGTCCCTTAACAAAGTTAACCAAGCAGAACAAATAAACAATCTTCCAGAATATAATGAATGTAGAGATATAGGTATATGCTATGATAAAACTGCAAGCAATACAGGCGTAGTCAATGGAGAATTAAAATTCTTATAAAAATTTTAGAAGTTCAAATGTTGTGGAGGATGTGTAGGAGACACATATATAAAGTACACTTATCTCTTTATATGGCTGCTCTTACTGGTGAGAAAAATAAGGAAGAAGGGATATTTACGTAAAGCTTAAGAAGTGGCTTGAAATCTGTGAGAAATTTAATGTAGAGAAAAATCAACGCAAAGAGATGATTTAAAGATTAGCTCTGTTCTTGGCACTGTTGCAGAGGAAGCTAAGACATTTTTGACAAATGAATCTACTGATCTGGTATTTTCTAGGAATGATTAGGGAATAGTATGTAAACTAACCTTTTTCTTCCTCGGAGCAGAAATACAGCATTTTAAGTTTCAACAATCTAACGCCTGCATGAGGCAAGGTTTTTATCAAATGCTGTCTACATCCTTTCCCTTAATATGACCAAAGATATTAGTATTATCTTGTTAGATAAAAAAAGAACTGCAGACAAAAAACGCAAGTTTGTTTATAGCAATTTGCAATGTTCCATGGCACATAAAAAGTGTTTTGGAGTTTCAGACTACCTACAACAATTTGAAAACTATCAAAACAGTCTATGCTTTAAGAAGGGTCAACAAGAAACTTGAAAATGCTTTGATTCTGAACATGGGACGCCATATCTGGTACTTAACTCACCCATCTCATTGTTTTTTTCTTGGGGGATAAAGAAGTTCCAGCTGAACTAAAGCTACAAATGCTGCAAGCTCTAGTTGAGTTAAAAAAGCCAGAGGAATTTCAGTGTTGTAAACCGTAAAATACGAAAATTGGAGACCACATAGCTAGCTGAGGTAATTTCCGAGCAAAATTATATTCTCTTCAAATATTTTGAATGGCTCAACAATTATCTCAACGCTAGTTTTTTTAACCAGCCTCAGTAGCTAGATTTTATTGTATGGATTGAAAATATATTAGTTATTATATCATATATGTTGCAGTAAGGAACATTAAGCTCATTCAAGATTTTATTTCTACTAGAAAAGAAAATCATTTTCAAAATGTTCTTTTTTTAGTTAAAAAGTTTGGAAAAAATTTGAGCATGATCCAAAAAGTGCTTATAAACTATAAAAAAAAGTTGAATTTTTTGGGAAATTTTGCACCCAATGAAACCTTTGGTTGGGAAATAAATATTAGTTCAAATATTGTCTTTTTTTTTTGAATTTTTAGATTTATAAATGTATACTACCAAGCTTAAATAGTAGCAATAAAAATTGCCTATGATTTTGACATCTCTAATTGATTTCTTCAAATTGTTTAAAATGTAACAAACTTTTCTAATAATAAGAGGTTGCTAACTTTATAAGGTCATAACTTTAGAATGTTGAAATAGTTTTTTACTAAATGAGAATTTTATTAATAAAATTTAGTCGAGTTCATAATGGTATTTTTTTAAGTGCTATTATTTCCCCCTTCCTTAATACATACTTGGACCTTTGGGGCCCTAAATTTATGGGAAATTTTAAACAATATGTTAACTACGGTAAAAAAGCGTTTCCATTACAAGTTAAATGTATAAACAACATTCCTCTTTTTTGTATACTTCCTTGAGGTATACCAAAAAAAATGCATGAACAGATTCTATGAACTTTTTTTATCTACTGCATTAGTTAATAAAAAAGTTTTTCAAAAATAATTAGTATGGCTCATATTGTTTTAAAATGCTAAACATTAAAAACTCTGAAAGTCTGCCTAATTTGTTTTTTTAAAGGTTCAGGAATGAGAAAAAGCAGGAACTGTGATATTGAACAGAGTTCTTTTTAAAATCGTTTGATTTGAACAATAAAAACTTTCCTATTGCATTTGTACTAAATGTAGAAAAGCATTAGAAAGAGTTGAAAAAGGAGTTAAAAACATTATTCTAAATAAACAGTATGAATTCTCAAAAGTCAAAATAAGTCTACTTACCAGAAACCAATCATTATGTGTTTGTGACATTTGTGTAATTTCTATATATATATATATATATATATATATATATATATATATATATATATATATATAGGTGTCTTAGGTACCCAGTTCAGACCTTGGAATCCGGTAATTCAGCTGTTTTACCAGGTACCTCGAATCAGCCATTTTGTTGCAATACCTGGCACCAGGTATCTTAAAAATTTTTTTATAAAAATAAACATCAAGTGCTTTAAGTGGTACTTTGAATTGTGTCAAAATATTGTCAACAGAATTACTTTTAGATTAAACTTCAACCAATAAACTTCTTGTTATCTTATGGATGCACTAGATTAAATAAGTCATTATGTAATTTCTATGAAGCCATTATTAAAAATTGTCAGAATGTTTTAAATTGCAAGGTTTTTTTTATTTTTGTTGATAAGTTTAAAAGCCTTTTGGATTGATTTATTTAGTTCAATTCAAACATCTTTTTTTGATATAGGTAGTCTGTAGAAACATGTTACAATTAATGTTTCATGATATCTTATTAAAATTTGAGCTTAGATTTAATCATTTTTTAATTTGGATAACACATTGTCAATAATTTCAAATCCATTTAAGTCATTTCTAATGTATGTTGGAACAACACTACCATGACTTGTCTCTATTTAGGGGAGAACTTGCACCCTTGATCTGTAAGCACCTTTGATCCTATAGCATTATCTCCATACTTACATAACTTATTAAAGAGGGCTGATAACCAGCGTGTTATAAATATTGTATCTTCAAAATTAATTGTGTTTTGGTTAAAGAATAGACCACTATTAAATTTATTTCTAAATAGTTTGATTTTGACAAAAAAAAGTATTTTTTTTACTTTAACAAGGAACCTTTAATATTATTTTAAGTTGAATAATTTTGCTTATGTCATTTTGTAACTTAACTATTTACCTCTTGTATGGTTGCTTTTGGTAAGCTATAGAAGCATCTAATATGACCAAAAGAGAATTTCTGTAAAAATGGAGCGGGTTAGCACCCTTGATCCTAATGTGTTTATGCACCTTTGATCCTATGATCAAAGGTGCATACACACACACACACACAAAATGTTTAACTTTTAAAATAACGTGTAGAATATGTCATATTGTTTTTAAATATATTTTTTTCTTCTAGAATAAAGCCTTAAAATGAAAATTTTATACTATTTTGCATTTTTTTGTTCTCCTGAAACTTTTATATAATATAATTGTAAAGTATTCAATATATATATATATATATATATATATATATATATATATATATATATATATATATATATATATATATTGAATACTTATATTTATATATATATATATATATATATATATATATATATATATATATATATATTGAATATATTTAATATATATATATATATATATATATATATATATATATATATATATATATATATATATATATATATATATATATATATATATATATATATATATCTGTGTGTTTGTTAATAAAGAAGATTTTAGTAAATAAAAATCTTTAAAAATGTTTATCCAAAAATTAGGAATATAGCAAAACTATATAAATATGTTTAATTTTTTAACAGTTAAATATGGTGTATCATAAAAAACGAAAAACCAATAGACCACCTAGAGGTAAAGTTAATGAGAATGAAATGCGAGCAGCTGTTAATGCAGTTCTTAATGGTAGTACAGTTTATCGTGTATCTAAAGAGAGGGGAATCAATTTATTGACACTTAAGAGATATGTAAGGAAATGTCAACTAAATCCATATACAGTCTGCAAACCTAACTTCATTACCATGCGAATCTTTACCAACGAAAAAGAAACATCTTTATCAGATTATCTTTTAAGGGCCTCAAAACTTCACTATGGATTATCAACCAAAACAACACAAAAACTTGCCTATGAATTTGCAATGACTCTTTCTAAGCGCATTCCTAAATCGTGGAAAATTTTACAAATTGCTGGGAAACAGTGGCTTCGTGGTTTTATGTTACGTAGGAATGAGTTATCTTTAAGAAATCCAGAAGCTACTAGTATGGCACGAGCAACTGCTTTTAATTGTTATACAGTCGGAGAATTTTTCACCAATCTAAAAGATGTTTGTCTACAACACAAGTTTCAGCCACAAAACATATATAATGTTAATGAGACAGGTCTCCCAACTGTTCAAAAACCAGTTAAAGTAATTGCTAAAAAAGGAGATAAACAAGTTCGAAGGATAACTTCAGCAGAAAGAGGGACATTGGTAACAGTTTGTTGTGCAGTCAATGCAATAGGAAACTCAATCCCTCCATTTTTAATTTTTCCAAGAGTTCATTTCAAAGAAAGTATGATAAATGGTGGTCCACCTGGATGTGTTGGGGTTGCAAACCCATCTGGTTGGATGAATGTTGCAACGTTTTTAGAGTGGATGAAACATTTTATTCAAAATGTGAAATGTTCACCAGCTAATCCAGTGCTTTTAGTTCTTGACAACCACGAGAGCCATATTTCAATTGTGTGTTTAGATTTAGCTAAAAAAAATGGCATAACTATGCTGTCCTTTCCACCAAATTGTAGTCACAAGTTAAAGCCATTAGATCAGTCAGTTTATGGGCCACTGAAACGTTATTACATTGCAGCCTGTCATGAATTAATAATAACTTTATTGGTTTTTATTATAGACATTGTTTTGATGACTTAAAAATTATTTTTATACAATCATGGTATACATTTGATCTCGAATCAAGTATACATACATAGGATCAAGGGTGCATGTAGGTAGGATCAAGGGAGCATACTGGTATGCACCCATGATCCTAATTGAGCATTCTTATTTTTATAATTTTAAATCTACTTAAAATATTCTGGTAAAAAAATGATAATTGAATTATAATAAAGTATAAAATTTGCTATTATGTACTGTTATTTTAGAGATGGAAATAAAAACATATATTCAGTAAGTTGGCCTGATAGATTTTTAGGATCATGGGTCCATACTCTCCCCTACTTCTAAGTATTTGTTCACAAACAACAAACTATCTCTACTTAATAAACAAAAGTATGTTAAATAAAAATTTTAATTTAATTTGAGTTTCTAATTTCTTTTAAAATTTTTTTGAATTTGAGTTAATAAAAAGAACTCTGAGAACCTTTTCATGATTGTCTCATGTATTTTTGCTTATTAACTATTTTTTAAAATAAAGATTTGACCAGGCTTTTTTCAAATATCTGTCACCAGATACCAGATACCCGAAAGTTATTATTAGGATAAATTTTTTAATATATTTATCTTATATTTATAGCTGTCAACATTTACAACAAATTACATTAAACATTATGATGAGGTTTATATTTGGTAACAGTTCTAAATATATTGTATGTCAAAAAGGTTATTGTAAAAAAGTGATCAAAAAATTGATTCAAACAACAAATTAACTTTAAAAATTTTTAAACAAAAGATTTTTTTCTCAATATAACCTGGATATTATAAATGATGAAAGATACAACTTAACACCATTATTAATCTTTGCTAAAAGCTTAAATAAACTTACATTAGTTCGCCTTTTTCTTAGGTAGTTTAATAAATCTCCATGTTCCATATACTCAACAATTAGGCTTAAGGGTTTCTTAATTGTTGAGCAGCCAATCAAATTTACAATATTTTTATGGTATCTAATTTCTTTCATCAGATTCATTTCTTCAGCAAAATCTTTAAGTTCTGACGGATCAGCAGAGTCTATATTCATAATAAATGCAAAGGTTGTTTAATGTTAAATAACATTTACTTTTACTTTATAAACAAAATTTTTAAAACAATGTAATTAATCAATATACAAAAATAAATATATATAGAACTAAAAAAATTGATAACACCTCATCTTGATCCAGAAATCAATTCATATGATTTACTGAGGAATAATTCCTAATTAGGAAGATATGTTTAAAAAATCTGACTTTTTAGCATAATGTAATTTTTTAAGTATAAAAAACAATTTTTTTATATGTCATTTTGAAGTAAAACCTTCAAAGTGTAAAATACACACAGACAAGCATACATATATATATATATATATATATATATATATATATATATATATATATATATATATATATATATATATATATATATATATATATATATATATATATATATATATATATATATATATATATATTTATATATATATATATATATATATATATATATATATATATATATATATATATATATATATACATATATATATATATATGTATACATATATATATATGTATACATAGATATATATATATATATACATATATATATATATATATATATACATATATATATATATATATATATATATATATATATATATATATATATATATATATATATATATATATGTATATATATATATATATATATATATATATATATATATATATATATATATATATATGTATATATGTATATATGTATATATATATATATATATATATATATATATATATATATATATACATATATATTTTTATACATATATATATATATATATATATATATATATATATATATATATATTATATATATATATATATATATATATATATATATATATATATATATATATATATAAATATATGTGTGTGTAAAAAACTTTTATAATATGTGATTGCCTACATATTTGGGTCAAATATACCAAACATTTTGGGATATAATTTTTCGCAGACTAAAATCACTTTGATAATTTATACAACATTCTTATTTGACATTAAGTTTTAACTTAAGTTTAGAGTACAAGTAAGCACAATCTTTAAAAATGTAAAGAAACATCAGAAAAAATACATCCTACTGGCCATTATATATACTGTCATAAATAATTCTATTAAATGAAAATAAAATAAAAAAAAATTCTTAATTAAAGAATTATTTAAAATATATTTTAATTGATTTTAATGTAAATAATAATTTGAAAAAGCAATATAAGTTAAAAAAAAACTAACACAACTTCCTGAACTTTTGTCTTGTTTTATACCTTTACAATTAAAATTTTTTTTAGGTCAAATGTTTTAAAATATTATTAAGAAAAATTAATAAAAATTTCAGTTTTAAAAATTTTAATAACAATAACATAGTTTTTGAAATATACTAAAAAATTATAGTTGTTTAAAAATTAATGTAAATATATATAATTACTTTGTGAGATAACACTTAGAAGTAACTTAGTAAGTACTTTTAACTTAAAATTTTAAATAACTTTTATAAATATTTTTTTAAAAATACCTTTTACAAGTTTCACAGCAACTTGGGAAATGTTTTCTGTAAAGTTAGAGTTCAATTTCATTTTCTTTCTTTTTGAAAGAACAGAAGAACTAAGTTTTGCAACAAAAACAGTACCAAATGCCCCTTCCCCAATTTTTTTATCTAAAGTAAATTCTTCAGGAAAAATTTCCCATTCATCAGGTGATAATTCATGACAATCCATGTAATGCCTAAAAAAGAAAATTATCTGTATAAATATATCTGTATATATATATATATATATATATATATATATATATATATATATATATATATATATTATTATTTCACCTCCCCAAGGCCGAGAAAGCCATTATAGACGAGGAGGCTACTTAATTGTGGTTATAACCCTCTCTCAACTCTATAACTCCGAAACACGAACCTTAATAAACAAGGTTGCTGCGGGGAGAAACAAGTTAAGAGTGTACTACCAGGGACATGGTGGAGATCGAACTCGGAACCTCTGGCTTATAAAGCGAGCGCTCTACCACTAAACCACTACCGTAAACTATATATATGTATATATATATATATATATATATATATATATATATATATATATATATATATATATATATATATATTATATATATATATATATATATATATATATATATATATATATATATATATATATATATATATATATATATATATATATATATATGTCTAAATAAATTAAAATGTATTCTACAAAAAAGAGTGCTCAATGTTCTTATAAGAACAGAACAATTACAAATTAGTAGAAAATCTTCGCAAAATTCATTACTTGAGCTTACTTAGTTTTATAGTTTTTTAGGAGAACTTATTTTCGTGCCTGCATTTAGAAATCGTTTCCAAAAAAATATAAAGTTAATTATAGCTATATAATTATAGAGTAAGGTTGTAGAGTTATAGATCACAAAATAGAGTTATAGAGCGAAGAAACAGCTGACAGAAGACTTGAAAAGGTTGTATGTGTCAGGAAAACATGAAGATGGGAGAAACTTCGAAAGGGTTGTGATGCAAAGAAAGAAACTAGATGAATAAAAGTTTTTCAAACATGCAGGTAAAGATACAGTAAAAAAATGAAACTATGTTGAGAGACAATTTAAGTGAAAATGAGTTTTAATTTATGGAATTTGAGATGATGGCTCTTTTGAGCAGTGACCATGATGGTATTTGGAGTAAAGAGTAATAGATTCAACCTTATGACAATGAAAAAGTTGCTCAAGCTTTGCTTATAAATCAGATCCAACTACATTTACAATGTGGTTTTGGAACTTGTCTAGAAGAGCATCATTAGAAGTACCAGTCCAAATATGACAACAGCATTCCATACATGGATAAATAAGAGATTTGTAGCGATAGAGAATGATATCAGGAGTTAGAAAAAGGCGAGCAGGTGGAAGAAAAGCAAACTTAGCAGACACTAATTTAGCAATCAATTTTATATATGGTTTCCTTGATAGGTCAGTGAAAAATAATCCAAGAAGATGTAAAGAAAAAGACTTAGTAAGAGGGTTGCCGTTTATTATTATTTATTAGATTTCTTATTTAAATTTAATAGTTTTGACATAAAGTTTTAAATTTTTTTTAAGAAGGATTTTTTTAATATTCAAAGAGTAGGTAAATCCCGCTTTTTTTTACAAACTGTAAACTAATGTCAAACTATAGGAATTATACTGTCAAACTATACATACATATAAAAAAATGCACCTACAACCATCTTCAATCACAAAAAAAAAAAATTAACAGGAAGGAATACCAAAGAAAAGATAACTTTCACAAAAATCTTAGTTGATGTGGCAGCACTTCTTTGCCTATCAATATTGGGGCAAATAGTTGTGAACGTAATAGTTTTCAGATCAATATTGGGGCAAATAGTTGTGAATGAAATAGTTTTCAGATCAATATTGGGGCAAATAGTTGTGAATGAAATAGTTTTCAGATCAATATTGGGGCAAATAGTTGTAAATGAAATAGTTTTCAGATCAATATTGGGGCAAACAGTTATGAATGTTCTGAATCCTAGATGCATTATAACTAAAAGTAGAACTCATTTTCTTCAATACCTAAGGTGATGCACTTGGAGTGTATCACCTGAGGTGTTGAAGAAGTACAGGCATTGCATCATTAACAATATTAAAGTTCAGTTTTGGTTCAGTTTGTTAACAAGTAAAGTTTGAGTTCGGTTCAGTTCGGTTGTATTTAATGTTCTAGTTCGGTTGGGATTTGGTTTGTTTCCTATCTCTAATATACATCAACTTATGTCTTGTTTCTGATAGTAGTAAGCACTTAGTTTTTCCAAATTTACTCTTAAATGTTTTTGACCACGGTTTGATATCTCTAAAACAATTATATTATGATTCTTTATCCTCCGAATCCCCCTTTCATTGAATGTCAACTACCTTGAAGCTGACTGGGACTCTACCTATGACTTTGTGATGGGCCTTGGAAAGAAATCTTTTTTCTACTTGCTGACAAATGTGTTTCTTATGAAACTTTTTAGAATCAGGTTAGTATGGAATACTTTATTAACACTTGATGATTCCAAATCAAGCATCACCTTTCTCTATGGTTTCCCTCTCATTTTGATGTTGCAATTTCCAATTGTAACCATTACTTTCATATTTATTTCTCTGGAGCTCTCCAGAAAACTGAGGTCTGTTTACTATTACTAAAAAAAAATATAAAAAGGTTTTGTCTAACCCTAAAGCCCATTTGTGAAAGGTCACAAAAATCCTGTATTTCATCACAAAAGTTAGCCTCTCAAAACTTTGGGAGAAACTTTAACAGTGCCAATAGTAAGAGAAAAACTGTTTTTCCACCTTTCTTGCATTTTTTAGATTTTGTTACCTCACCTAAAGACATACTCTGCAAAATAAAATATTCCTCAAAAGTTGGGTAAAAAAAAAGACCAGTGGTACAAAATGCTTAATGGCAGTAAAGAAAAGCTTGCTTTTTAGCAAAGACATAAAAAATTTTCTACTGAGAGATTTATTGACAAAAAAATGATTTTGCCAGGGCATTAAGCAGAAAGATAATAAAGAAGTAAAGACTTCAAAGAAACCTCAACAATCTTACTTCTATATATATCTTACCACAGAACTTTAATCAGCCCTCAAATGTACTAAAACAACAAATACTTAAAGGGATCCCAAACCTCCGAGACATGTTGTGTTCATATTAAAGAGAATAATTGAAAAAAATGTTTGGGCAAATTTTTTTAGATTAAAACAAAGGAATAAATTTAAATCTTTACATAATTGATCTTTTAATTTTTATGTTTACATAATTGATCTTTTACACAAACAAAAAAAATCAATGTACTGAAATTCTTAGGAATAAAATGTGATTGAATAAATTATCAAGTCTGTAGATTGCAAAGTATATTATGCTGACTTTTTAACCTACAACAAAACAGAGATGGCTAGCTTTGACTAAAATAAATAAAAAAATTTTCTTGGTATACATTTATTCTTTTGTTTTAATCAAATAAATTTAGCCCAAATATTTTTTTACAATTTTCTTTAATATGAGCAAAAACAAAAAAGACTATTAAATGATCAATGTTGAACTTCTACAGTTCTTTTTGAGTTTGAGTTTGAGTTTTGAATTTGAGTTCAAACAAAAAACCAAAATCCAGTCAACGTCATATTGCACATTTTGCAAATTGAGACCCTCAATTGTTTAACCAGAATTTCGTTTTTATGTATTGACCATGAGATTTGCTTTTAATCTTGGAAGGTTGTATAGTTTAAAGGCATCCCAAACTCCCAACACATGTTGTGTTCATATAAAAGATAATGTTGAAAAAAAATGTTTAAACCAAGTTGTTTTGATTAAAAATAAATAATGAATGCATAACAAGGAAAACTGATGTTGTTGTTTTAGCTAAAGCCCGCCTTCTCCATTTTATTCAAAAACCCAGAGTCTTTAAATTATATGTTGCAATCTACAGACTTTGGTGATTCCTTTGAAGCGCGTTTAATTCTCAAAAGTTTTACCATTTGACGTTACGGTTGACTTTTGACAAATGAAACTCTAGAAAAATTTTTATTTATTTTTATTCAATATTTTTTTCATTATTTGTTTAGTTATTTATTTTCCACTTTTAACATTTAAAAAGATATTAAAAATCAAAATACTTTATGCTATAAATTGTTATTGCGTTATATTTAATGTTAATAAATAATGAATATCTATTATCTCAATCAAGATTCGGATAAAAAAATTGTTTTATACTAATTTCCCGTATAAAATGAATAACAGCTTTTTTATTTGGTTAGACAATATTTCGTCTGAATTTGCTTTGCATGAAGTTTGGGAAGTCAAACGAAAAAACTTAGTTTGAATAATCGTGTCAAAATATATTTAAAACAAATTATTTTAATGATGGGGGTTTAAAAGTCTTTTTGTAACAAATGTAAGTAGAAAATAAATTAACTAAAAAATTTTAACATTAAACATCTTTTTTTATTATATTGCAACTGTAACTAATATTGAATTATTAACTTGAACTAAATTTACTTATTATTTAGAACAGCAAAGCAATAAAAAAAAAAATCTAAAATTATGCGATTTTATGTTGTTTAATTGATTGTTGTTGTGGTTTACGTTGTTTATGTTGATTATTTTCATTAATATTATAATAGTTTCAGATTGGACTGTTAGATGCTCTGCTCATTGTTGATTTATTTCTAATTTAATTTTATCTCTAAGTTTAATTTTATGTTAAGAAAGAAAAGTTATTATTTCATCATTCTTTTTATAAAAGCTTTATAAAAGTTGAGAACTTTTTTTTATATCAGCGCACTCTTTTTATAAAAAAGCAGAACAATAGAGAAATAAAAGTTTCATGTAATTAAACTTTGAATGAATAAGAGTTGTATAGAATATTTTTTTTTGCGTCACTCGTTTTTTTTTTTTTAGATGAGAGAAATAAAAGTTTAATTGCAACTTTTTTTTATTCAACTTTTCTTCGAATAAATGGGAGTTGGAAGAAAAAATTGTTTAAAAATTTGTCAATTTTATTAGTTTTTTAATTTTTCATGTTAAGAGACAAATGCCAAATACAACACATTAATCAGGAGATACCAAATAAATTATGTTTTTTAACGCTTGTTATGACATTTTGACAATTTAAATTACCATCTATCTTAAGCTATTGCCACTAATTAATGTGTTAATTATGGGCATTAAATAATAATAACTTTTCTGAATTTTTGTTAAATGTTAATTGTATAAAATGAGCAGAAATATACATTCATGTTTTCAATTTGATGGTTATAAAATATTAAACAGTAAACTCATAATCAAAATTTATAATACCGACTTGTGTTGTTATTAGTTGTACTAGTAATGCAAAACCAGGATCTCACATATCACTTCACCAATTCTCATATCTGATACTACTGTCAATTGTATTGTTTAGTGCATTCTTGTACTTTTTTTTCATAATTTTAACAGATTCAAATTGGTATTGAGTTGCCAACATTTTAAAAGTTTCGTTATCAAAAATCAAATGCAAAATATATTTCCCTTTTATTCAAATCCAATTTAGCAAATTTAGCAATTTAAATTAAATTAGCAAAATTTATAATGAAAAACTTTAACAGTTCATCATATATTTCTAAATAATAGTTAATAAAAGTAATTATTAATAAATACTTTTTTTCGACGGGAAAACAAAAAATATCAGAACGTAAAAATGACCAGAGAAGTTAGAAAATAGTTCCAATTGTTTAAATAAAAATTAGTATGATTCAGAATATATAATACTGCGCTCTCTTGTACAAAAACAAGAGACCCTATATATAACGTTCTATATAATGTAAAAT